AGTATCACTCCTTTGGAAGAATAAAGCATTAGTTGATGATTCGTGCATTGTCGGTTCTTGGGCAAACAAGTGCAACTGATTCGCCAAATCAGTTGCTTGCGCTTTGATTTTCCTGTAGCTTTGTCGTTGTGTTCTTCGTTTTGCGGCTCTTCTACATTTCCTATCTGTTCTGGCAATTTCGCTACGGCATTTTCTCTTTAGTGGGGTACGACAGAGGCTATTGTCTTCATGTACTGTTTTGGTTCGCAATTGGTTAGAAATGTGGGAGCCTTGGGAGGGGAAAAGAAGCTGAAGCGTGCTGAAGCGTGCCGGCTGGCCTGCGTGTGTGGTCCAGGAGCCTCTCCACTGTTGCCTCAGCTGCCAGTTGAAGCCGGATGATGCTCGCAGCATCAAGCAGATTTCGCGACACTCCAATGTGTGATGTGGCAAGGCCATGGCATTGTAGACAGCCTCCAAGCGCAAAGAGAAAGGTAGCAGCCTGCCAGAGCACAGTTTTCTGAAGCCACCGGCTTTGCCAAGTGTCGTCCAGGGTCCGCACTGACGCTTCGCCTTTAGCAGCAAGGACTTGGGCACGAAGGGCACCGCTAGGGGAGGTGCCTGCTCAGCTCTGCAGAAAAAGCCCGCGCAGCCCAGCAGTGCTGAGTGCCTGGGCCAGGCCAGTGAAGTTCGGTACCTGTGGCTTTGTTCGAGAAAGGGAGACATCAGCCACGGGAACTGTCGGAACAGAAAACACCATCAGGCCGTCCAGCAGCACTGAGTTCCGGGCTGTGCCCACGGCAAGGATCTCGGCATGCCTCGTGGCCTTGCAACTGGGGCGGCTCCATCAGGTCAGTGACTTGATACTAGACTGACGCACGGAGTGCGACATCTCGCGAGAACCCGACATCCCAGCCACCTTTCTTCTTCGTATGAGCAAACCGATGGCGACGATAGAATTCGTGATACCTACTGGGCAGTGACCGCACCAACGACCCGAGCATGCATAGTCTCCTGCCTTCTTTCATCCATGGGGCCGAATTTGTATTCCTTCACCTCCAGGCGACACGCCAGACACAGCTCAGAAGATCTCGGAAGGCTGTTGAGGCGTTGGCCTCCCCACCGGCTCTGCTTCCGACGAACCCGGCGGTCAGTCGGGTCTGACGTCACGCTCGGAATGACTCTGAAAGCTCTGGCCCGGAAAAGGATAGAGCGCCTTTCTCGGAACGGACTTCGCTATCATGTCCGATGGCACCTCAGAACCGAGCGACTCTGGAACTGGGCTGCTTCTTACGACGACAGGTTTGGACAATGAGCTCGGTGCTGCTATGCCAATTGGAAAGATAGGAGTGTCCTGGCACAATGACACAAGTGCAGCTTCTCGCATCCACTGGCCTGCCTTCCGAACAAGAGGGACAATGTCTCCGGCACAGTCCGCAGTATATCATACAGTAATCCAGTATACGTTCCTATGGTATAGTATAGTTTTGCATGGTATAGTAAAAACAGTAGGGAATGACTATAAAATGTAGTACCTGTCCTTCTTGTAGATGAGGATCTTGCCTGGCCTCTGAGCATGTTACAAGTGGTGCATTCTCGGGCTCGATCGTTTCATGTTTTCTTTTAAGGTGGGTGGTCGAAAGAGGCTACTATAATATACTATCACGCTTTATAACATACAAAAGTATCTAGGCATTCTCAACAACATGAGTGACTGGGGGCAGTTTCTCCCAGACGAAGTTCGAAGTTGAATAACTGCCTGTCGCAACGTACAAATACGTACAAGTCGTGAAGCCACCCACAGCTTTTACGGCCTACCCGCCTTTGGAAGTGAACGCATCTGGAGCTGTCATCGCTACCAAACCTTGAGAAGACTTCAAGAGCGCGAACCCATGCTTACACCCTGAGAATAGCATTGACTTTCCCAAGGCTTCCGCAGAGGCGAAGGACTTGCACCACCGACTGCCTGGAATGAGGAGGTTCTGCAAACCTCCACTGCAGGCATGCAGCCGCTGCCTTTGCGCATCCATCTGCCACCAGGAGCACTGCTGCTCGCATTATATTCCAGCCATGGCGAATTTCACGAGAAATCTATGAACCTCGCCGAATCCAGTCTCTGGCAACCGGTCTACGGGTGTCGTTTGCATCTTGCCAACAGGACTCGATGCATGGATTGTCCCTGCTTGGGTCTTGCAACGGGTTCTTTGCAAATGTATCAGACATTCCCCTGAGCATCAGCTTGCCTGCAATCTAGTGCACACAACCGGATGACCTGAGCACATCGACCTTTTATCCTCTCTTCCAGCAAGACTCGGGCTGTGCAAGCAAGCCAAACAGAGGGCAAGCTTTGCTTGGACTGTGTCCGACTTATCCCTGACAGCTTCAAGCCGGAATGCTTGGCAAAGCACACTGCAATGGCTGGAGCTCGGGAGCAAAAGGCGGTTGAAGAAGTGTCTGAAACAGAAGTGGCATTGCCAATGTGGCTTTGATCAGGGATTCCAGCTGCTAGGCATCTTTACAATCAGAGCAGATGCTGCTTGCGTTGGTGCACAAGAGCAAGCTCATGACAAACGCCTCGCTTGCTGGAAGAGATAACCATGCACTCCCTAAAGGTTTCTGACGTTGCAGAAGTCGGAAGGCTCTGTAGCCATGTCACTCGGAGGCCCCTTTACCTGGCCCTGCCATGACAAAGAGCGAGGGGCAGGCCGCATGCCCGGCCCTCGAGTTAAACGTGGCGAGCATTGAGTTGATCAGCTCAAGCCACTGTGAATTTGGAACCAGGCCGCCAGGGGTCTCGCGCAGTAAGTCACAGTCTCATAGAGCTAAACGGCGGACAGGCCTGGTGCCGCCCAGCATCCCAGTATCCCACCCTGAAAAACAGGCTTGCGGTGTTTCTGGGCTTCTGTGAAATCTTGTTAAAGCCATGCCCGTCTCCTGCGGGTACACTCAAAAATTCGAGACTCGAGTGGCGCTTGCACCCAGCCTCCACAAGTACTGCAAAGAGCAGTAGCACTGCAGTAGGCTTTACTACAAAAGATCTGTACAAGCGGAAACATGAAAAGACTCAGCTGCGTGGAACTCAGGCAGGGGCCCGATGAAAATCGTTCGGCGCGGCGCGAGACCTCCAAAATCGCCGCATCTAGTGTACAAGAATATAGCATACTAATTCATAGCACGAAGGTCTCTGTCGGAATCGACAATGCTGCTGTCAGCTATGCAAATACCGAACACTTCAAATCTAGAAACGGCGGGAACACCGGCAGCTTTTGAATCACGGTTTTGCACCCGACTCTGATTTTACAGCTGCCACTGCTTTAGTGCAGTGGGACCGGAATGACAGAAGCCAGGAGCAAGTTCGAAAGGAAACAAATCATAGATCGCACTGCAGATTAAACTGGCGGTGTGGTGTAGCCACGGCATGTGTCAAAGTGTTGCTCTTCCGGATTCAAAGACGAGACGCACTCAGCTTTTGCATTGACAAGGCCCAAGCGGTGTCAGGCGGATGACAGCAAGTCTTCAACCCATGCAAACAGGACACAATGGGCAAAGATGTCACTATCTGGCTGCCGCGGTCTCGCCAGAAAGCATAAAACGCTTACAGATTGGTATTCCACAAGCCTGAAAAACATTCCAGCTGTGGGCTTGCCTCCGATATCCTGTACTCTGGCTCCAGGCATGGCTTAGGTTAGGGTTTAGGGGCTTTGGGGTTTAGGGGTTTAGGGTTTAGGCTGTAGGGCTTAGGGTAACATTATACGAGCTACTCGAAAGGCGCACGCGAGTTTGGAGTCCGGAAGGCCCTTACCCCTCCCTCCTCGGGCCTGGCAAGCCCCAAAGCTTTCCGAGAAGGGCTTTAGGAGCCTTTCAGTTCTATTTTGGGACCCGCACATAGACATCTTCCAGCCGCAACATGTTCGGAGTTCGGAGAACGGGAAACCATTCCAAAAGCGATCCGAAGCCAGGTCTGTTTCCGAGCCGCGCAATCGCGGTTCCACTCGAGCCCTGTTGGAGACTGCGGACACGCGTTAGCCATCTCAACGGCATCAAATCTTTCGGTGTTAGAGGACCGGTAAAGCACACCAAAAACTTCGCAAATGCTGCCGCAGCTGCCGCTGCCAAATTTTGCCCCGAAGCAAAATGCAACAGGCTAATCATGACAGTAAGTACCTCGAACCCTGATCTCACATTCCTGCTGCTAACTGAAGCAGGACATCTGCATACCGCCCGCGAACTTATGACGTTCAGCCTGTCAGCTGCTAATGCTTGGCAGACACCAAACAAATGCTGCGCTTGCCAGCTGCACACTCCCTTACATTCACAGGCCAAGCCTCTGTGCATCTGAACGAAACGATGAACCACCCTGCAGAAACGACAGTCAAGTGTTGCTGCGCTGATTCAGCGTCATATCACTGTAAAAGCGGTAGTGCGGCCAAGCAACCAGTGTGGAGACTCAGAGAGCCTGCGTGGGAACTGCCTCACATGGCACGCAGAGAAACTTCATGGCCGAAGAACAAGCCTCTCTCATTCCGGTCCCTTTTCCTGGTTTTGCCGCCGCAGCGATGCTCATCGATGCTCTAGACGCTTACAACGGGCCAGGCCGGTCATTTTGAATTCACATCTGAGCGACAGCAGGCTTGACACTGGCCTCCCCGGCGAGAAGCGAAAGCATTGTTCCACAAACACAAAACCATCCTCGAACCGACGGTGAGACCGCTCTGCCAGCTCGAAATATAGAGTACACGAGGATGTCCGAGGACGAATGCATTCGTCCGCGGTGGTGGAAACATGCGAGTTCTTTGTTCCTTTGCCCTGTTGATGAGCACCAGCTCAAACTCCTCCGGTAAATAGCACTTGTTCTGAGATGCGTCCTTCATGTGACACATGGCGTCAGTTGAAGACCAGCCCCACGAGGGACTTGAACAAACGAACCACACACACTCTTAAGATTAGCTTCTTGAGCCGAATGTCTGACAAGGAAGTTTGAAAGACGCATGCCTGATTTTTTCCTGTGCCTTCGCATAGCCATCTAGTCGCAGAATAGCAGCACCAAAGCCTTGATATCCAAAGCGGGAGCTTTGTCACCACGCATCATGTCCATGAACTCCTGGCGAAGGCATGTGCGCTGCATCGCTGCACGATTAGAGGGCCCCGACGCCAGCTACAAATCCTTCCCAGTCAACCTTATCAGGCAACCACAGGCGGGAAGGCCGGAGTACTGACACATGGAAAGGACCGCTGTTGCTCATGCGGTCACGTTGCAAGAATTCAAAACTTAGGCTTGCAGCCCCTGATGCTGTGCTCGGCTCAGGGCTTTCGGGCTTCGAGGGCGCAAGGAAGCATCTTGGCTTTGGGTTCCCGGTTTCGGCCCGGCACAAGAAGGCGGAAACCGGCGCAGTGGAAGAGCGGGGAAAGGAAGCTGTGTGTGCATGCGGCCTGTTGTGTTTGTGACGAGTGTTACCTGACGCAGTGAGCTCGACAATATGTGAAGCTTGGTCTTAGCAACCAAGTGTAGATTGCGGCACCATTTCTCGGAACTTATCGGCCATCACTGGACGTCACGCGTGCTCTGCATCTTTCAAACTGTGATTTGTTTCGTCCCGCTGGCCAAGACGACTGTTGCGGAAGAACGAGTGAGAAGGAGACTGGGAGTGAGAGTGAGACTGGAAGAGTGAGAGTGAGAGTGGGAGTGGGTGAGAGAGAGAGAGAGAAAGAAAAAAAGAGACAGAGAGAGTGCTTCAGATTGAACTTGAATTTGAGTTTGAGTTTGAGCTTGCAGACTGCCTGAGACGGAGAGGAAAAAAGATTCCAAGACCGACGACACGCCTGAATCGCACATTCTTGCCTCCGGCGTTGCCCGACAACCCCCCTCACAAGCTGTACCGGAGTCGACACGAGAGAAGCCGGCAGCGTGGCAAGGAGCCAGCTTTGGACCCACGAGGAGATGCGCTGCAGTCCTGGAAGTCTATGGAGCCGTCGCCATTGGCATCCACGGCCTGCCAACATGACCCCTCCCGTCGGTGCCTTCCTAGGCTTCCTCAGCCGTCCTAAATTCAAGACGTCCATTCCTAGTCTTCCTCAGCCGTCCTTAGGGTTTAGGGTTTAGGGTTTAGGGAAATTCAAGAAACTCAGAACCCAGAGCCGCAACTGCAGCACTCGAGTCTCTGCCACATCTCGACGGAGGTCAATACAGCGAGGGCGGTACTAGAACACAAAGGCACTCGGGAATGCTATGCTTGAAGATTGTTTGAAGAATCTGGTGCAAGCCTGCACGGCCTTGAGAATGGTTGGAAATCCCAGGCAATCCATCGAAGAGTCATTCATTAACTCTTCTGCACCATTAAAAGCCTGTTGGGAGGAAAGTCAAGTGCATCGAGGCCGTAAACACAGAGCCCTTCAAAAGACTATCCCTGCTGGGATTTGTCTGGAATAGTACAGATATTCCCTACTCTTTGTACACTCCTGGATAACACCAACGCAGGATGCATGGACGGTCAACTTCATTCCGGCATGCTGCCGTCTGAGATGTCCGCTGAGTGCTTGGTACAAGTCTTGCCGTATTCGATGCCTCAACTCACTCATCTCCATGGTAAAGCCGAGCTTCCGATCTACTTCTCCATTAAAGGCTTCGGGCACACATGGATGCTGATAGCACGGACACCACATGTGCCGTCGAGTCGAGTCATAAGGCTCAAAGCAAACATCCGGCTGGTCAGGACCACAGAAAGACTTTCTCGTGATGCACATTGCGAGAGCCGAACCGGAAAACGATCATGTTGGCAAACACGGTTGGAGGCTGTTTGTTGTTGTTGTTGGCCTTTGCACCGTTCGCCGCCCGAGACTTGGCTACTGAGCCGGTTCCGCAGACCACCATCTCTGATGGCAGAACAATGTGCAGAGATGCTGGTCACGAACACAGTGCTTGCGCCAGTGTCGCGCCTTGAGAATATCCTCCGAGGTTTTGCTTCCCAGGGCCTGCAAACTTGCCGGAAAGCTATAGCTGCTATAGCTGCTCAACTCCGAGAACGACAGAAGCCATGCAGCAGCGGCAAAACGGCGTCCTCGTCCATGTTGCCGTTGTCAAGGATCGTCTTCAGCTCCTCTCGGTCGAGGGCACAGCCCACGCAGCAAAAGAACCAGTAGTCAGATTAGTCGCCAGATCCCCGTCCGACCTGATGAAGAAGAGGAATTCAAAGGGTGCTTCAGATATCAAGGGCGGCAGATCAGCATGCGAATTGGAAATCTTCGCGCAACAAATACACTCGTGGGGACGTCTTGGCTACCTCCAAAGTGATCTGGCCGTCTCCGTCTTGGTCGAAGACACCTTTTCAATTGCCGCAGCCAACAGAAGTTTCACTATCCACTAGAAGTGGCAACAGCAAGTTTAGCTGTGGCAACAATCTTGGCATGAAGGGTACTGGACATGGCTGCCGAACAGGCAGTGGGAGTATTCACAAGAATAGTACAGAACAAAACAGACAAAGGGTCGAAGCAGTGGCCGACAGCCGCAAAAGCTGCTATTGACACTATGCCTACTGGACAGCCTGGGAGCATGCAGGCATTGTCTATCAGAAGGCCGCTTTCGATGCAAACAAATGCCCAGACTCTGAGGATGCGCACTGAAGGCATTGTAGCAAACATCCTCCTGCAAGTAACACTTCCTGGCATACCAGACAAGTGCGCTTGCTCACACGGACAAGGAACCGCAGCATCAGCAGCACTCTCATACTCCTATGCCTACTCCTGCTCCTTCTCCTCCTCCGCTCCGCCTCCTACAACCACCAGTTCTACTGCTGCTACTACTACTACTACTACTGCTACTCCTGCTGCTGCTGCTGCTACTCCTACTCCTACTACTACTACTACTACTACTACTACTACTACTGCTACTACTACTACTACTACTACCACCACCACTACTACTGCTACTACTATGTTGACCTTGTCGTCGTGGGTGAGTGTGGGGGTGATGGTGGTGGTGATGATGGTGGCGGTGGCGGCACTATCATTCCTATGATAAGTCCAGCCACGAGGAGACCGATACCCTGACGACTCCCTCTGATCTGTTGAATCACGCATAATCATGCAGGTGTGCCGGTCAAGCGTAGCAGCCAGGAATTCTGTATAGTCGATCATGCCGCTGCCATCTGCGTCCACGCCTGGCTATGTTCTGAGCGACAGCTTGACAGTGACAGTTGCGATTAATCCAAGCGACACTTGTGGATGTGCGTCTGAAATCTAGCTGCCGAGCTAAACTGAATTATGATTTAGAGGGACCC